GTCTGAGACCAGACATACTGCTGAAAGTCTCGATCATCTTAAGTGTGGCGGATAATGAATCTCTAGTACCGTTAAGAATGAAAGTTGTGTCATCTGCATACTGGCTAATTTTAATTTCTGAGTTGTTTACAGATATTCCTTTAATATTCTTGTTCGATCTGGTTGCTTTAGCTAAAATTTCAGCAGATAGTATAAATAGGTACGGCGAAAGAGGGCAACCTTGCCTAACACCTCTTTGTGGTTGAAAAAAACAACTCGTCCAGCCATTGTTTAGGACACAGCTTTCGATGTTCTTGTAAAATGTTTGAATCCAGGTTATCAAAGAAGAGCCGAAACCAAACTGCTGGAGCGTGCGCTCAATAAAAGACCATTCAAGCGAATCAAAAGCTTTTTTTCAAAATCTACAAAGAGCAATAGCCCAGGGATATTTTGTTGAGAAGCGTAATTTATAATGTTATCTATCAATCTAATGTTTTCTCCAATAAATCTTCCTTTTAGGAAACCGGTCTGGTCGTTATTGATAAGTTTTGGGATAACAGATTTTATTCGGTTTGCGATAGCTTTCGCAGCTATTTTGTAGTCGCAGTTGAGGAGAGTAAGGGGCCGCCAGTTTTTAATGAAGTGCGGTTCTGCGTCTTTTTTTGGTATGAGTTTAATGATTCCGCGTCTCTGTGTGATCGAAAGGGCTCCTTTATCATATGAATAGTTGAGTGCACTTATTAAAAGAGGAGATAAGTCTTTCCAAAAAATTTTGTAGAACTCGGCAGGGAGTCCATCAGTTCCAGGGGTTTTGTCTCGATCCATGCTTCTTAAAGCTTTAAGACACTCTTGTTCGGTTAAATATCCTTCGCAACTCGTTGCCTCGTTGTCGTCCAGAGACGTTTCGTTTTCAGGTTGAAAAAAATCGCTGGCTGTTGGTATCACATTTTCCTGGGATGTGTAGAGCTCTTTGTAAAAGGTTTCGCATTCAGCAAGGATTTCCTTATCAGATGTGATAAATTTTTGATCGGTGATTTTAAGCTGGCTTATTGTACTCAGTTTGAAATGTCTTTTCTCAAGGTTTAGAAAATATTTAGTGTTTTTTTCGCCTTCATTGTACCATTTAATTTTACATCTCAAGATTGCCCCTTGGGTACGTACTTTAATTATCTCTTCTAATTCACTTTTGGATAGCTCAAGTTGTTCTGTTTTATTTGTTTTTGCGTTTCGCTGACAGAAGGCTCTTCAAGTTCTTTTTCTAGTAAGGATTTTTTTTCTTCTAGCTCATGCTGTTTATGTGAAGTTTTACGCTTTTTGGCAGTAGCGAAGCTAAGAGATTTCTCTCGAATTTTAAGTTTGATCATATCCCAAAGGAGCGCAGGGTTTATTGACTTATCATTTGCGTATTCGTTCTCTGTTTCCTGGATGGTTAACCTTATCAAATCGATATAATCCTTATCGGCCAGGAGCGATGTGTTGAGTTTCCAAAAACCAGGTCCTCTTGGGTTTGAATGCAGAGATATATTTAATGTGATCATTGAGTGGTCTGTCTTAAAGCCCGGTAGGATGTTTGCGGAGGTAATGCTACCCAGAAAGCTCCGACTTGTTAAAAAGAAATCTAGTCTACAGTGGACAGTAGGCTGTGTTTGGCGCCATGTATACCTTCTTTCTTCGGGGTTCAATATTCTCCAAGCATCAACAAGCTCGAGGTTATCGCATATCTCATAAATGGTTTTTTGCGCATTGTGATGTGTTCTGGGCAGGCCACCTTTTTTATCTTTCTCTACATCAAGGACGAGATTGAAATCGCCTCCAATAATAATTTCCTCTCCTTCGAAGTCTTCAAGGTGATCAAGGAGATCAGAATTTGTTGAATCGCTGACCATTGAGCCTATCGTAGCCAGTCGCCTTATTCCGCTTGACAAAGGTAATGGCGTGGTTCGCCCAATCGGCGTGGGCGAGGTGATTGGAAGAATAATTGGCAAATGCATCACTAGGGTCGCAAAACAAGATGTGATCAACGCTAGTGGGGCCATGCAAGTATGCTCTGGTCAGAAGAGTGGTGGGGAAGTCGCAATACATGCCATGCGCAATATCTTTGAAGCCGATGAAACTGATGCCGCCTTACTAGTTGACGCCTCAAACTCCTTCAATTCACTAAACAGAGCGGCCGCGCTGAATAACAGCAGAGTGCTATGCCCATTGACGCCACCTATGTAACCAACACTTATCGAGTTCCTGCGCGCCTTTTTGTGGTTGGTGGTAGTGAGTTTAAATCTGCAGAAGGAACTACATAGGGAGACCCCTTAGCTATGTCAATGTATGCAATTAGCTTACAACCGTTAATATCGCTACTTCATAACCGTAGCACTGCAAAACAATGCTGGTTCGCGGATGATGCTACTGGAGCAGGACCCCTAGCTAGAAGAGGTCAAGCAATGATGGGATGGGTTGAGAGAGGCTGGTCCGCCCCTTGGATATTATCCCAATTCCAAGAAGTGTTGGCTTGTTGTTAAGCCGG